GGAAGCGGTCGATGCCCAGAGCGCACAGGGTGAAGGAGGTCACGCCCAGGGACACCACCTGCAGGGCGGGGGAGGGGGGGGCGGAGCTGAAAGGGCCTGCTTTGGGCTTTTTAGGGGGCTTCTGCCACAAGACAGGAGCCCCTGGAGGACACAGGCAGGGAAGTTTTTCCCTCCCTGTGTCTCCTATTGCTGCTCTTGGTGGGAACTGTTGTTCTTCTGTGAAGAACTCAGAGTCTGAGCTGCTCTGTTTGGAAAGCTGGGAGATACCTGTTGTTATTTCTGTCTAACTGCAGACTTGCTGAGCCCTGCTGCTCCCAGCCTGAAGCTAATTGATAGCATCCATCCAGCAGCTGCCACTGAGTCCCAGAAACCTCCCAGAGTTCCCACCGTGGCTCAGAACCTGAATGAAACCAGGACTATGCTTGTAGAAGATATAAAACTGTGCTTAAAGGACAAAAACGGACCACATAAGCGGTCAGAAGACCAGAAAAAGGAAATTAAAAAGAGTTAAAAGTAGCAAAAATAGGCCCCATCTAAACATTTCCAAAGTTCCCACAGTGGAGGATATAGAACTGTGTTTAAAAGGACTACAAAAGAGGCCAAAGGACCACAAAAACAGCTCAGAAGAGCAAAATCAGAGCAGAAAACACAGCGGGAAAAAAGCTAAAAATACCCCAAAAATGGCAGTAAACAAAAGCTGATTTTTAATTATTGTACTTCATCTAAAGACCTTTAACAGATCTGTGATTTTCTAGAGAATTCCCCACTAAGATGTTCCTCCATTTAAATGGATCCCACACAGTATCCTCTCCTCTCTCAGGTCACATGGGACAGCAGCCCTACTCCCATTGGCCCGTTTGGATGTCTGACCCCTGGTTTGAATCCTCTCCTCCAATAGAATCAGGCTGACACGGCCTCGTCCAATCAGATCTCTGTATCCAGCTGGAACTGAGCAGGAAATGCTGCTTTTACAGCAAAGTGGTTCCCGGTAGTTCCCTAAATGTGCTCTGATCTGGTTTCTGTCAGCAGGACAGCAAAGGTAAGGCAGATTTCTGAGGCTGTCTGTGGAGCCTGAAGCAGAACTTTGGGCTCTTTCTGCTGGTTGTTCATTTCTGAGGAAGCTATCCTGCTCTGAGTGGGTCCAGCTGGCCCTGAAATCTGTCTTCAGGTTAAGGCCAGTAGTCCACAAACAGTCTCAGCTGGAGTCTTTCTTTCCCTTTCATGCAGGGAAATCTGCCCACTTGGACTCAAATCTGGACCTAAGTTGTCCTCTCCAGTCAGATCTCCCTTCAGGTACCCAACACGTAAAGTCCTACATTTTTCTTCCTGCCATCTCAAAGCTGATCTCCAGCATGTTCATGTTAAACTCGCCAAAGTGAATAGATTCTGATGCAGGTCTCCACAGTTCTGACTAACTTTACTAACTATCTTTGAAATCGCAATGTAAAAGGATTTGTTAGCTATTTTCTCTGTACTTACACTCATTTCCAGTCTAAAAAAGTAGAAAAATATTAATTGTTGAAGAATATCAACTATTTCTTCACAGGTTTG